ATATATATATATATCACCTTCAAAATATTTCAATTCAGGAACCCTTCCACCACACGCTCCTCTGTATAACTCTAGAACCGCAACACTGAACCGAACCCAAAAAAATGACGAAACCCTGAGGCCAGGACCCTATTGCCAGAACTCTACAGCCAGAACCCTAGAAACAGGACCCAATTCTTGGGCCCTGTCCGCTAATTCCTGGGCCTTGTCCGTTAATTATTGGGCCTTGTCCGCTAATTCTTGGGCCCTGTCCGTTAAGACATTACGGTTTAAATTACTATATGAAAGAGAGGTTTAGGGTTGAGGGTTTAGGGTTCCCATTAACACAACGAGTACGACCGAAACTATTGTTACTACTACTACTACTACTCCTCCTCCTCCTCCTCCTCCTCCTGCTGCTGCTGCTGCTGCTAAAAACATGGTCCAGGGGTCGCCGTGGATTTTAAGCCCGATTTTGGTGCCAAAGCTGTGGTTTGAAGCGGATTTAGCATTCTGACATGGCAAAAAAACAATTTTGGGTTTGATAGCTTTGGTCCATTTTTTCACGGAAGCGGCCGTTGGTATTTATATGTTCAGCTCAATTTTTTCGGATTTTCAATTCAGGGTTTAGGGTCTTGTGGGGAGTCTGGTCTTTGAGATCCAGGGTTTAGGGTCTTGTGGGGAGTCTGGTCTGTGAGAGTGCTGGCTTGCTCGGTTGACTGGTTGGGGTACCGGGTGCAGGGTCATGAACTCATTAACTCCGCTCCCAAAACTCCATAGTTGTCCATTTCTCCCGTATAAGATACATTCTAAAAGATTCGCAATCTTTTTGTGGCGGGGCTGTGGGGGGTCTTAAAGGGGTTGTGCACGTCATCCCCCAATCAGATCTTGTTTTCTACACATTTGAACAGCCAAACATACCTTTGGTTTTTTACTAGGTCCCCACAGCCCCCTTGCCTCCTGGCTCTTGAGGGCTGTGGGTGCCTGGGCTTGGAAAAAAGGCACCCCACTACACTGACTGCATCCTCCGCAGTGACACGCAGACATCCCTTCTAAATATTCCCAAGGACCCAAGTTTTGGAGAAAACAAATGTTTCCGCTATCCCTTCATGAGGGCCCCCGTAATCCTTATGCCTTTGATTCCTCTTGATCCCCAGGGTCGCAAGGGTACCTGATTTTGGGAAACCTCCGTATGATTCATGCTCCGGAGTTGCTGGATTCATTGCCCACGGGTGCCAGGAACGACATCCCAGACGTATCCGACCCGATCACCTGCGCGAGGGTGCGCAGCTTCAGTTGGCAGATTGATCTCCTCCCCTGATGAATACTCCCCAATAAGACCATTATATGGTACCGGGATGTACTGGGAATATGTTATGTCAAGGGGCAGGGGGCTTATCATTGGGGTTTACAACAACCTCACCTCCAATTGTGTCTTATTTAGAACAATAATCCCAACTTGGCTTAATTTCAGGTTCGAAAATGGCCGGCATTCAGCATCAACGCTGAAAGGGTTTCTGTTTTTTGCGCCCGTGCTGTTAAACTTATTGCTGCGGTCAAACTCCTACCTGTTCATTTGTTTCTGTTGCTGCCTGTAGTTTTGCTGCGTCGACTAAAGATTGAATTGCCGGTTCGTTGACTTCATTTCAGCTTGCACAGGACATGAAGTCCATGCTTTGGATCAAGATGCTGCTGCGGCTTTTTGCTACTGAGTGCTACAGTGGAAGTAAGAAGGAGGCTGCGGGTGCACTTTAAACATGACTCGTGTACGCTTGCACGTGCACTCACCAAAAGCTTTCAGCGAGCTAGACTGGGATTTTGAAGCTTGGCAGTGTCTCAAACCGGGCTGGTCATATGGACCTGCAAGTCCATAAGACACCTGCAATCCTCCCAACACCTTAGCTGGTCCTGCGGGGCTGAGATGTTTCCAGAAACCGCGCATCATTTCTAGCCGACATCTTGCCTGCTTGCCGTGGAAGGGTGCTTTCCCTGGAGGGTCTTCAAAGCAGTCTTCTGGGGTCGAAGGCCACAACCTACGAGATGGTACAGTGACCACTACGAGGATCCATTCTTTCCTTCCTTGCTAACCGAGGTAAGATTAGCGCCAGTTTTTGACAAGCCCTGCGCGAGGGGTAGCCCCATATATCCCATATCTTACCTCCTGCTGCAAGCGTCCCCCTATGGCCAACCTTGGTATTCAGGCTTTGGGTGCTTTGGCTGCTGAAGCACCACCCCCCAAAAAAATCAATCTTTGACACCCCAAAATTGTGAATATATTGGGGTTCGAGCTTTAGTAGTTGGAGCCTACATCCACTCTCAGAAGGGGATCTTGACATGTCTGCTGGAGTCAAACGTGGAGTTCTCTGATCTATGTGGAGTGAAAGAATGTTGTATTAGCATTTCAGTGTAAGGTAAATCATATACGAATCAAAGCCGTGGAAATTGCAGGCCTGCAACCTGGATGAGAAATGCTACCATTGGAACTTCAAGCTGCTTGCCTGTGTTGAGCTCATGCCACAAGCGAGTTGGCAAATGGAGCCCAAGACTACATGTTCTGAAAGGCTCCAATACATTGCTATGCGACTCTGAACAGAGCTAAACTACCAAACTAACACTCAACAGATGCTGCTGGCAAGGGCGGTCTGCACAGAACGCTGCCACTAATCTATGCGTCGCTGTGTGTGCTGGGGCTAGAATAACGGCTGGGGGAAGGTGGGTCAGTTGGCTTCGCAAGGGCTATGAACCTTGTACAGTTGATCGGGAGCATTTGCTGCAGCTTTGGCAGATGCAGCATCAAGAGTCTTCAGATTTCCCATGAATTAAGCTATGAACCAGAGTTTGGTGACTCCAACACCAGTCTCATGAGATCAACCGTCCCTCTAGCCGCTGCATCCCTTCGGCGCCAGGTGTGTTGCAGTGCTAGCAACAGAGTTTAGGTGGTATAAGTATAAGCCAGAACACCTGTGATATGCCTTGAGCCTTGCAGGTATACTTCTCCCGATTATAATACAATGAAGTTATACTGAGTGTATTCAGTGTTCAGGGGTCGGGAGAGTACCGCTACAACCACCACCACCGCCGCCGCCGCCGCCGCCACGACGACGACGACGACGACGACGACGACGACGACGACTACTATTACTACTACTACTACTACTACTACTACTACATGTACTGCTACTCTTCCTCCTGCTCCTGCTCCTACTCCTGCTGCTGCTCCTGTTCCTGCTGCTGCTCCTGCTGCTGCTCCTCCTGCTGTTCCTCCTGCTGCTCTCTCTCTCGAATCGCGATTGCAGTGCAACCTGGCGTCCCTCTGCATCATACCTACGGCATGAGGCATGACAGCGCGCTTTGGCGGTATCAGGAAGCGGCATTCGGGCCGAAGCCCCAAGCAATGCCAAAATGGCCCGGGCCGTAGCCCCAAGCAGCCATCAGCTGGGTCATTGACCCCAAAGTTTCGAGAAACATTCACCGGAAAGTACCTGATCAGCAAAGCATAGCATCCCAGTTTAGGAAGCACACTCGCAAGGAAGCCAAGCACCATTGGACAGCATAGAGTAGCGCAGGCATCGTATTTGCATCACGGCAGACACGGACTTAAGCAAGCGCTTCTTGCAGAACTCGTGAGGCCAGACTACCCAAAACTCACTCCGTTGATGGTGCCCATCAGGCATGACATATGTCAACAAGCAGAACAAACTAGCTAATCTCGCTCACGCCAGTTTGATCCTGAAACCAAATCCAGTCAGCAGGTCGACACACCCTTGTGGCCATTTGTGTGGATCTCGCACATGGTAGGCCGCAATGATCATCCTGTTGCCGCGCCACCCACACGTGGCATGTGGCAGAGAGCTGTCAATCTTGGCGCATGGGGCGTTGATGGGAATCTTCGTACCTCTGATCTCGTACGGAAGGAGCTGGTCGTTGCCTCGCCCATCCTGCACAAAACCTCACCACCAGAGAAAACTGTAATGGGGATCAGCGTGTTCGGAATTCCAGGCATATTATGGGCATCCTTGTGGAGTCCAGAAAGGCAATTGTACAGAATGGTTGCAGATGAAAAATACTCACAGTCCGATGTTCGCTGAATGAGCGAAGTAATTAGCAGGGTTGAGTACGGGTACGCCTTGGTGTTGTTCATAATCCCGTAGTGTGGCCCATGCGCATACGCGCCCACCGCGAAGGACTTCGGGATATACTCATGGACGTCCAGGACTGCCGCTTGCCTCCTCGTGTTCCTGGTCTGTCCTTTGGCCGGAAGTAGCTCCAGAAGCTCCTGCAGCTTGTGCGAGTCCGTCCAACCCTGTTGAAGGCAAACATAGGCTAAACGCTCAGCTGGAAGCAGAGGCGCTTCAACCTGTCGAGTGAAGCTCGGCATGTCCACCCTGAAGAGCGTTGGTCTACCAAACAAGGGATTGCCTGCGTCCATCTTGTCCTGAGATGTCCTCAAGGGGGTCCCACGCGTGTCTACCCAGCCAGTGGTGTCTTGCTCATGGTCACAGAGATCGATGTTGCTAGGCCTGGTGAGGTCAATACATCCTGCCTCCATCCCACTCAACTTCCTTTTCCAGGCAAAGCGCCGGGAGCAGGCATCAACCGCTCTAGGTCGCCGCAGTACCCTCTTCCACAGGTGTATGAAGAAGCCTCGCTCATCCTCCCCGAAAGCCCGGCGGCATCCATCTGTACAGACGTTGCAAGAGCGAAAGTACTGCATAGCCGAGTCCACATTCAATCGACCGCCTAGCGCATGATGACTCCGACAAGTGGCGACAGTGACATCCTGCGTCAAGGAAAGATCCACGTGCTCCTCAGAAGCCTCACTAACCTCCGCATCTGAAGGCTCGGGCATTGGCATGGGGCCTTGAGGACAAAAAACCCACGCTAGTCTCATGAGCCCTGTCAGCCGGCAACATAGATGAGGCGGGATGGCTACGAGCCGGCACGTCGATGTAGAAAGCTTGTTGGCCCCAGAATTGAGCGCTCCGATCATATGACAGCACGCAAGAACAGCACAGAACCCACTCCCCCGGGGCACGTAGCATCACACACAGTGCTGCGGCCAGCGTTGAGTCCACTCAGAACAGCCTAGCCCAGGGTGCAGCGAAAGTCCGAAGAAGAGCGAACACAGAGCAGCTCGCCTCTGACGACCACAACCACGACCACCTCGTCAAAGCACCTGAGAGCACGGCAGAGACAATGAAGCAGGCATAATACGACAGTGCAACACAGGGGGCAGTTCGTCCGCATGCAACCATTTCCTCTCTGCGGTCCGAATCGGAACTCATGGCGCCATCCGCATCGGGATACGCAAAACACATGCACTGAGCTGGAAAAGTGTACCCCACATCGAGGGCAGCAAGGCCTCCAAACGCCACTGTCCCACGGCAGCTTCTGGAAGAACACTAAAGAGCCGTCTGTGCCGTCCTCCATTGTCCCCGCCCTTGCCCAGGCTCGCATTGGTTGGACTGCCACAAAGTCCAAGAACCCTGATGCCCTCAAGAAGCCGATGAGAAGCACACTCTTTGGGTGCCTTTTTTCGGAGCTGTTGGCCAGGATGGTGGCCCATGGGTCCGATGACAAGCTTCAGGAAGAAATGGAGAAGCTCAGATGGTTCTGCGTCAAGGATCAGACTTGGAGCTATATGGTCTGGAACTCCGAGACCAAGCAGCTCATTCCAGACGAGTCCAGGAAGCCCATGCATGCGGAGGAGGCTGTGGCTCATGCTCAGAACATCCTTCGGTACGCAGCTGAGCCTGAGACGATCTCTCGATTTCACCCCACCAGGCCCCTGGTTCCGGATATCAAGGGTGAGGCCATCAACATGATCCTTCAAACTGGTCTCAAGACTCCGGCATCCCTGGCGATCCACGAGGATCTTCGAGCTCTGAGTGGCTCTGCGGTTGGGCTGTTGGTCGGCCTTCAACTGAAACCAGATCGTGGCCAGAGATCGGCACTTGGCAAAGGACATCGCTCCCCTGCAGTGTCTGCAGTTGTCTTTGCACCTCGCCCTCGTCAGAGTTAGCGCGTCTCCAGTCTCCACCTTGCCATCGCCCGTCACGCCCAGTCTCCCTCGAAGAACGAGAATGCCCTCTTTGACTACCCCCATTCCACCCCGGAGATGGGCCGGTCGTGCGCCCTTTACCCTTTCTTGCATCATCCTCCGATTTGGCCCACTTGCCTCCACGCGCATCTTCGGCGTGCGCGTCACCATTGGCTGGAGCTTGGCCATCAACCTTCATGTCCTCAGCGCCTGTGCTCAGAGCCGTGGATGGTCGCCCCGATGGCATTTAGTGCTGCCAGAACTGATTTTCCAGGTCATCGGTCAGAGGCGCGCTAGATGCGTTGGCGGCAGACATGATCCTCGCTGTTACCCAGGAGGTGGATTATTGCAGTCTGGCTGGTCTGGCAACCCAGAGCATGTAAACATTACGGAAATGGGTGTCATTAAGGCTGCATGGTGTAGCCATCATGTTGTCATCTGTGTACAACCAGGAGTCTCCATATCTGAGCACCGCACGGAATGCCCTTCCGTAGCTCGAGGGCCGAGGTGCACCACCGCAGCAATCGGCCTGTAGATCAGCCAGACACTCCGAATGCCCTCACCGAAGCATGGGAGAGAGATGTCATCAAGAAATTGAACTCTGGACAGCACCTTCCGACCATGCCGATATCTGCCCAGATGAAGCAGAACAACATTTGCCGCCTCCAAGAGTGCATGGACGCCCATCTGATCATGCCAGGAATCAACCAGCTCCTGCAGTTGCGACCCTGAGTCCGGCAGCGTCAGAGAAATGACATTGCCATAGTCCATAGACCTCACAACCCCCAGCTCATCAATCCGACTGCTCCATAGCACGTCATGGTTAGAGCCTGACCTCATCAGAGCAGTGAGGAACTCCAGCGCATCCTGTTGCGTACTGCTAAACTCCCAGTCAGTCAGCAATCGGCGTAGAAGAGGTTGAGTGTGCAACGAGACAGATACACCAAGGTTGGCAGGTGTACGCAGCATGGTGTACAGCAATCTGAAGGCCTCCGGAACATGTCTAGTGAGCCCCCAAGTGTGGCATTGCGACAGCATACACGCATTGGCATAGCAGTGTGAGGAAGGGTTAAGCAAGACCAGTCGTGCCGGCCAAGATCTGCTAGCCTCATCATCCCACTGCAACAGAACAGAGCTGGATATAGGCGGCGGCCTCACAGGGGATGTCTGCTGAGATGTCGCCTCTGTGCGTGGCATTCTCATCTCCGGCCTGTCCGTGGATGTGGTGGTACTGAGTCCAAGTGCCCGACCTATGGGAATGGCGGACAATGCAAAGCTTGCGTACTCTGGATTGGCTTTATCCTGGCGCTGCTGCACTGCAACCACAACCTGTCGCACCTCTTCTAGCTTGGATAGCTGGTGTAGCCTGCGCATGGCGAGGATTTGGAATGTGACGTAGCACTGCTTGGAATGCGCCTCCGATGATTTGGCTCTGCTCCCGCAATAGTC